CACCAGCTCAGTAAACTCTAAAATCTCCACCTCAATGAACTCCGTGGACACTAGCTCTGCTGGGCTAAACACCAACTCCAACTCTAACAATAGCAACAACAACAACAACGACAACAGCAACAACGACCGCTCTGATGACACTGTTCCAATGAACATCCCTGATGACAACAGCAGCAACAGCAACAGCAGCTCTGTCCCCCCGCTGATGATGGTGCAGAATCCACTGCAGAACTCACTGGAAAATTCACAGAATCCTCCACAGAATCCTCAAACCCCTCAAAATCCTCCACAGAATCCTCCTCAGAATCCGCAGAATACACAGCAGCAGCAGCAGCAAGGTCGTACAGCCAACTCTGCGGGCGCCAAACGGAAACGCAGCAGCAGCAGCAGCAACAGCAACAGCAAAAACGACCGCTCAGGTGAAAATAGACAGAGACGAAGAAGTCCACCTCCTCCAAAGAGGCTCTGCCGCAATGATCGAACTGAAAGGGTGATAGTGGGCGGCGGGCCGACCCTTACCACCACCATCGTCCAGGTTATGGATAATGATGGTAATGGTAATGGTGAGGAGGAGGAAAGAAGCAGCAGTAACAGTAGCACCAGCAGCAGCAGCAGCAACAACAACTCGTTTGATGGTAATCAGGTGAACATGATGGTGATGATGAACAACGGAAACCTANTTGTTTTGGTTGGTTCAACTTTGCAGTTAGTGGTGGTCATTGTCTTCGACTTCATTTTATATATACCACCACCACCACCACCACCACCACCGACAGCCGACTGGCTCCGATCCTCAAGAGAAGAGGGGACGACGCAAACGAAAGCGCTCGAAAAGTCGCAGCTCCAGTGAAACTTCTTCTTCTTCTTCTTCGACCTCCTCCTCCTCCTCTCCCTCCTCTGTCTATTCTTCCGAGGCTTTAGGTGAAACGAGGCTGAAACTTCGACGAGTCGACGGCGGTGATAGTGGTCCTCCTGCTCTGTCCTCCTCTTCTTCCTCCTCTTCTTCTTCCTCTTCAGAGCAGCAAAGCAGTCCAGGAAGTAGCAGCAGTAGCATCAGTCCAGGCACCAGCCACTCTGGAGAAGAAACAGAGCTCAGCGAAAGTTCTCCGGTTTCAATCGAGAATGAGAATGAAAATGTAAACCTGGTGGCCGCTGATGATGATAATCACGATGCTCTTGATGAACTTGCTGATGCTAGTGGTTCTGGTGATGGTGATGGTACTTCGAGTAGTGAGGGTACTCTTTCTTCTTCTTCCCCTCGAAATGACCAAAACCACAACATCGAAGTTGATCAAAGTGGAGCCAGAAATGATGAAGAAGAAGAAGTCGCTGCTGGTGGTGGTGGTGGACACGAAAATCTGCTCCTGCTCGCCCAGGTGGCCGCCGATCGTCAGTACCAGCCAGTGGAGAGGGCCTTCGACGCCGTCGATGCCGTCGATGCTGAAGTTCAGGGCTATTTCGACCCCTCCCTCCAAGAGCCTCCAGACCTGCTAGACCTGCTTCAGGCCGGCCTACGGCAAATGGTGGAAGTGGTGGAAGTGGTGGAAGTGGTGGAAGTCTACTACCGAGAGGAGGAGGAGGAGATCTTTCAGCTGCATCAGCGGCTTCAGGTGGCGGCGGAGTTGCCTCCCAATGAGTTTCCACGAAGAGGGTACCTGGAGATGGTGGCCGCGGCTGCCGCTGCCACTGCTCACCTCCAAGCGGCTGCTCAAGAAGTGGCTGAAGAAGGAGGGGGAGAAGGAGGAGAAGGAGTTCCTGCTCTTCAGCATCGCTTACCACCGAGGGTTAATGAGCCCGTGGTTTATAAGGTAGGCGTGGCAGATGAAGAATTTGATGTTACAGTTGAAATAGAAGTTGAAGATGCAGATGAAGGAGTTCAGCCAGATCCTATGGAGGAGGAGGAGGATGAGGAGGAGGATGAGGATGAGGATGAGGATGAAGATGAGGATGAGGATGAAGATGAGGATGAGGANAGTTCTTTGACCCTGAAGAAGATGATGATGATGATGATGAAATTGTCTTTGATGGTCCGTTTGATGATGATGATGGTGAAGTTGAAGGGCCTCCGCCCTTACAATCATCTCCTTCTTCGTTCCTCCATCCCTGTCGGGACTGTGGTCAGAGCTTCTCCAAAAGAAGCCTTCTTGCAACGCACATGGTGGAAAAGCATCCGGAACAGTTCTAGAAGCGTCCAAGGATTCAAAGCAGTAGCCACCGCCGCTGCCACCATCATCTTCTGCTTAATCAGCAGAGCTGAAAGCTGGATATGATCATCATCATTATTAGTATCATTTTCAACATTTTGACTATTCAGTTTATCTTATTTTTCCACTCCTTTTTATTAACATTGTCTTTGTCCATTTTGACTACTCAACATATTTTTATATTTTATTAATAACTCCTTTTATTGCTTTTCAAACATCTTTTTTGAACACAATATGCCAACCAAAGCTGCTATTTTCGCACAATTGATATTTTCGAATTTGTAAAACAATCTTTCCAAACTCTCTTCTTCTCATCTTCACAAAGCTATGTTTTCGCACAATTTTTGTATCTTTTGCATTTGTTCAACTTTTTTTTCACCCTCTTTTGCTCATTTTTTCTATTTTTCCATCCAAAGATCTCTCCAACACACTTCTTTTCACTGTACACTTTTTAACTGTACACTACACATTAACTCACCACATCTTTATCACCACTCCTTTGCTCATCTTCTAACTTCTTCTTCTTCTTCTTCTTCTTCTATTCACCTACCTACTACTATCAACTACTTTTCTACAACTACTTCAACTGCTATATAACACATACGAAAAATAAATAATAAAAATCCTTTGGTTGAGCAGCAGCAGCACTTACCCGGTAGAAGTAGTTGGTTGGTTGGTTGAATGGATGGCTCCCATCTTTTGCCCCCCTCCTCTTCTGCGACTGACAGCCTGATCGCTTTGGCTTTGCTTTGCACTGCTTTGCTATGTATTTTTGCCCCGTCTGGCGAACTGTCTGGTTTTCTTTTTCTTCTTTCCTCCTTTGTTTTCTTTTTCTTCTTTCCTTCTTTCCTTCTTTCCTTTCCATCCTTGCCCAGTGTGTACTTCGTGTGCACTTGCTGCTGCTGCTGCAGTGCTGGGCTGACAGCTTCGCGTCTCCTTTTCCTTCTCTCTCCTCGCTCTTGCCTGTCCTGAGTCCGTCGATGTCTGTGTCTGCGTCGCTGCCAGTCTCTGTTCACTAGCTTGGCCACCACCGAAAGCTGTTGACGACTAAGAGAGTGAGAGAGAGAGAGAGCGGAGCTGCCTGAAGAGAGAGAGAGAGAGAGAGAGAGAGAGAGAGAGAGAG